CCACAAGAACTACACGTCAATGATTTAGTACTATTAAAAGATAATAATCATAGAACGAAACTCGACCCAATCTGGCTAGGACCGTACGAGATCACAGCAGTAATAGGGAACGAGAATGTAGCTATACAGCGTGGCCGCAAGGTCATTACTGTACATAGAAATAACGTAAAAAAATATTATAATGACGCACAAGTCAATTAAAAAAAAATAGCAATAATAAAAATAATAAGTATATAGCAATATTAAGTTAGAATAATTATATTAATTTTAGGAATAGAAATAGAACATTCATTTTGAAATTGGAGAAAGAAATAACAAGCGGAAACCACAATACAACCAATTTAGGCATAGGACAATTTTCAAACTGTTTTATATAGCACATAACTAGAGCCAATAATGAATTAACCATACCATACACCTAAGTGGAATTAAATGAGATTACTCGTAACATAAAAACGTTTCTGCAAGATATGACAGAGAACAGAATGGAAGATTTGGAAAAAATTAACTGTCAGGATCTAATAGATTTTATCGACATTATTCCGGAACCAGAAGACCTGCTATATTATAAAAACTTATTCTCAGAAAATAATTAATAACCCAATGTAATAAAAGGGGATTCAGATAAAGATTAAAAACTGATTTATTAAACAAAAATATATATGATAATTAACATCATTCAGTCTAATGAACAGTCTTTCCTTTAAATTAATTAATCGGAATCATCTTCTTCATCATCCGATAATAAAATTCCAGATACAACATGGTCCGGTGAAGGGGTAAACCCCTCTGGCCATTCAATCTCCATCGTTATGTCTGGACTTCGAGCTAATAAAAAATAATGATAAAAAAAAAAAATGCATTAAATAAATTCATAAGTAAAAAAAAAATATATATACGCATGATTTCGAATGACGTAGGTACGAATCCGGGTTTCATCAGGTTTTCTGGGATCCATGTTTTCTTTATATAATAAATCTAGTCAAAAAAAAATACAATAAAATAATAACAAAAAAATAAATACGATAAAAAAATAAATTTTAATTTTAGGGACAGACAAAGGAAATTCATTGTGGAACTAGGAATGGCGATCGAACAAGAAATTCACGAAACATATACTTTAGGACCGGAACACACACCGAGGTGTTTAATAGGACATATTAATACAGCGAATAATTTTATGGAGGAACCATTTGGTATTCTCGAAATAACAAAAATTACGCAAATTTTAACACTAATTATGTACGATTTGTCATCAGATTCGGTAACACCCACAAATACCTTATGTAAACGGTTAATAGATTATATGAAACTCTTACATGATGCTAGAGATATTTTGGATTATATAAGATGGTATTAATTTTATAAGATTATAATAAGATAGTTAGTTTAATATGAATATACTTTATACTTTTAGATTGGTGATGGTGACGAGTTTTCTAGTCAATACTGTCGACTCTGACGAAATAAATGCATCAGAGTACTTTTCGTATACGCCTTATGGAGTTGGCAGGGGAATACAATATGAAGAGTTGGGGCCAGTTAGGTTAATAGGGGCTCAATACAGTCTTGTAATGTTTTTCTCATTAAAAGAATATAACACGAAATATGAACTATTGGGGGAAAAAATAAAAAATATAACAAATGTATGTACTGACCAGAAATACCAAGATTTATGTGGAAAATATCAAATAGTAATTACAGATTTATATAACGAAATAACTAAACAAAAAGAACGTACATATATGTCACTAGGAAGTACTATAGAGGATGATAAACATAGAAAGAAAAGAGGATTAATAAACATAATAGGTAACACCATGCATACATTATTTGACGTATGTGATGACAAATGCACTAAGAAAACACAAGAAGCTATACAAAAAACGGAAGAATCAGGAACTAACATATTACACATAATGGAAACCCAAACCACTGTAGTAAAATCAACAATAAGAAGTATTGGTAATACAATAAATCAAACCGAACAATTATACAATAATATTACGGAAAAGGAACAAAAACTATACGAAAAAATGTCAAAAATACAAAACAAAACAAATGATATATTAGATTTACTAATGAAAAATGAAATACATAATTTATACACAATAATTATAAATCAATATTCCTACGAAACAGAAACATTGGGACAAATAGTAACCGCCGCTAGAGAAGGTATGATACACCCAGGTCTTATGACACCGCAAGAACTAGCATCAACATTAAAAACAATAGAACAAAATATAAAGAAAATATACAGTATTCCGATGGGAACAAGGAGATGGGAACTAAACGAATTTCAAAAAATTACAAAAATAAGAATCTACTATTCATACGACAGATTAGTATTTGATATAGTAATACCATTGATTATTGACACTGAACTTTCATTATACAGGTTAACGCCAATACCAATGCGTCATAAGCAAGATAATTCTAGTGGGTGGTACATGATGGACATTGCTTACAATAATATTGCTGTAACCAAAGGTTATAAAATATTTACTACATACACAGATCAACAATTAAACGAATGTAAAGAAACATCAATATACAAAATATGTAATACACCACAACCTGTACAGGACAACAATGAACGCCAACCATGCGAAGTGCAAAACTTCATGAAATCTGACACATATTCTAATCCTGAGTTATGTACAGTAAAGAATATTAATTTAAAAAGAAGCATATACCAAAAATTAAAAAAAAGAATATATGGATTCATGCAGGAAAAGAGACATTGACAGTAAGTTCCGCTAACCTAATAGATCCATTCATAATACAAACAAATGAAGCAGGAGAATTAGCTATAAACGACATCAGTTGCCAAGTATTTGCACGGGACGCAGTGTTAACTGCCACGGAAGAAATCCAAAATCCAAAATATAAAGACTTCACACCTGTGACTAACATGAATATTATTTTAGAAAAAATACCCGAACATATACACAAATTCGAAACAGATGAAAAATGGGAAAAGGGACCAGCTATGCAATTCACAGATTTACACGATGCATCCAAATCTTTAGACGAAGTACAACAAATGATTAACCAAGAACTTTTAAGAGAACAAAATCAAAAACATCAATTTGTACACAGTAATTTGCTATATGTAACAATAGTACTGGCATTAATATCTATTATACTAATAATAGCAATTTACATAATGATAAAATGCAAGTATATCAGGACCACAGAAGTCATGGAATTTCCCGGCAGAATAGTTAGATATAGGACACCCAATAGAAATGACTACGTACGAAATTATGAAGAGACACCCTTTACTCCACCACCTTCACCAAGATAAATTAATTAATTAAAAAAAAAAATTAAATATAAATTAAAAAAAAAAAATAATAATATACAATAATAATAATTAAACGAGAGATAAACAAATAATTTAATAAATAAGAAGCTAGGTATATGTAAACTAATAAAGAAATACTATATATATAATTATGTTTCAGGAAACAATCAAGAGGGATTTCAAAATAAATATAATAAAATATATAAACATGAGCGAACCCACACCAATGCCTGAGCCTAATGTTTTTTATAAGGAACTAAGGGATAGGTTACTAAATGATACACATGATCAATTGGTACTAAGGAACACAATATATGTACGTTGTTTTAGACAACACGTAATAGACGCAAATAATAAAATGCAAGTACCTTTTAACGAATCTGAACTTGAAACCGTTATGGGTCCGTTAACAACTTTCTTTTGCACTAGATGTAACCGCGAACCAGCCTATAATTCAATGTGTTTAAAAATCGCAGAAATATTAGATCAATATTATATTCAACACCAAATTTATAGCGAAGAACATATTCGATAAATAAATTAAAGATTTCATTAACAAATAAATAATAAAACGAGATAAAAAAAAAATAATAATAAAATATAATATTATACGTGCATAAAAGGGATAATACGTAAAATAATATTCTATAATTTAAATAAAATAATATTACGTGCATAAAAAAAATAAAATATATATATACGTAAATAATAATTATATAACAATAACTTTTAACTATTTCAGAAATTAAGAAGAAAAACAAAAAAAAAATATATAAAAGCACACGTAAAATTTAAAGTATAAAAATGGGTGA